ACACCGAATGTTCCAGAAACACACGCGGGGACAAAAGGTGCTCCGAGTGGCAGTCCGGAGTCAGTCTCGCCCCAGCGGTCGATCCTGCTGTTTCGCCGACATCGACGCCTGCGACGCTAGCCTTTCTCTCGTTGTTTTGGGAACAAGTTCGCCCCACTAAACCTTTAGTTCCTTCAGTTATTCGCCACCTCATCATTTATAATTCGTGACAATATTTTGCTCTTTATAGTCGGATGCATAAAATAGCCCTACGATACTTTTTTTTTCCGTTTTGTGTTGTTGCGTGCTAATAAACCATTCTGGTCATCCAGATTTGCGTAGCTGCATAATTGTCGTTGTCAATGACGTCGATACAAATTAAGCAATGCGGAAGTATCTTCAGAAGTAACTAAAATACATTTCTAAGTATTTGTACTCTACTCAAGATACTTTGCAGTGAAGGTAACTTGAGTAGTATTTTAAATACTTTATGACGCGGGTATTTAGTAACTTAAATACTTTTATCGAGTATTTTGTCCAACACTGGTCAAACCCCAGCCGCGGTCGAACCGACGAGCATTGAGGCTATGCTCTTCCGAGTTTTGCGGCCATTTTCTTTTGAGTTTGATTCGCCAAGGGTACGGTTGCCGGGTTTGAACAATGCAAAACAAATCTCGTGAATTCTTCTTCTTACGTCATTTTGTCATCACGAAAAGTGAATGTTAGCGGCAAACAGAGGCTTTCTAGTTTCACGAACGTTTCCATGGCAAAGGGCTGTGGAATCGTCACGCTCACGGCAGCCAGTGGGATAGCGAGGTACCTATAGTCGGTGACAGGTCAAGAACGAAGTGGAAGCTCCTCCCATTTCTTTACACCTTATCAGAGCGGACACTGGAGAGGTCACCGCATCTACGGCGTTCGCTCTACCAAAGTGGAAAGAGGTGGGCGGAGCTTCCACTTCGTTCTTAACCTGTCACTGACTATAGGTACGAACGTGTAAAAAACATAAAAGCCGATTTCTTTTCCTTCTTTTCGCACGAGATTTTGTGCAAGCAAAAAAATAAGACAAAAACACTGCCTGAGATAATGCGGTCGCGCCCATTTCTTCAGCGACAAAAGAAAAAAGCATGGCTTATGGGGACTACCGTAGTAATGAATCTGGTGAGCAATGGGAGCAAAGCACTAATAAAACTGCCCAAAGAAGCTTTACTGTATCATCCACAGCGTGTTCACAACCCGTGCAGTCTTCGTCGAACTCACGGCCTGCCAAGTATTATCAGAGTCGTCGTCAGCGCGCTATCCAATCGGAGTCTTCTCCACGGGCAAACAGGACATTTCATTTGCATCTTCTGTTAACGGCGGCTTCACAAAAAGTGCTCGGTTTCGCTGCGTACTTTGACATATTAGGGAGTTTTAGGGAACCTCTTTTGCACACCTGATACGGTGTACTACAATGCCCCCCCCCCCCCCCCCCCCCCCCGGGCCCCTCCCCCCCCCCCCCCCTATACGAACTGTGCATATGCGAGCCTTCGATGGTCGCGCATGCGCAGTTCATACTGGAGGGCCCACTGTACCGTACCGGATCTGCAAAAAAGGGTTCCCTAAAACTCCCTACTATCTTCTTCCCGTAATGCCATCCCTATCCTGCACAAACAGGGAAAGCAACGACGCAAACGAGGCACGAACACCACAGGGTCATTACCGCGGTTTTCGCCATGTTTGTTTTGAAGGACCGTAGCGAAAGGACTTCGAGAGAACAATTTGAGATATCCTATTTAATTGTACTGTACATCATAATCTTTGAAATCATGTTTTGTATTTTATAAAATGTTAATACATTGTTCTTTGTTCTCTTGCATTCTACGGTAGTTAGACTTTCCTTCGCTATTTTGTCGTTCGAACGCCCGGTAAAATGAAAGAGAGCAAACAGAATAGGAGGACGTGTGGGGATTTCAACGCTCCAACTGCGTGGCCACGGCAGGGCGACGTGAGGCGATCGTCAGGTTCTAGCTGGCCGCGTGCATAAACCCGAATGTTGGGGCGGCGCCTCAAACACGAATCTTTCTATAGTTTGAGGCTCCGCCTCATTGTTCTCGGTACGTCACGTTCTTGCTTGCGACCAGGATAGCACCTCGGGGCACTCGGAAAGAAAGTCGGCGAGGAATCTGGCGTCCGTGATTGGCCGGCGCCGCATTCGACCTTGTCGCCGGCCAATCACGGCGGTCGAATTCCTCGCCGACTCTTTCTCCAAGTGCCCGGATCAGGGCCCTCGCACTCGTATGGTGAAACGAAGTATAGTTTTCTCCGTCACTATTTAAACGTCTAAGCAAAACTTGCAGTTGAAGCTAATGCTTGAAGCGCAACTGTGAGAAGAAAAAAAAAGAAGGAACGCCTGCGATGATAAGCAGGAAGTCTAAAAGAGGCATTACACAATGTACAAAAAGTAATTTATTAAAAAAAAAATTGTCTCACTTAACAAGTTAATAAATGCGATTAACCCTCACCGCTGTATATGTCATACCCCATTCACACGATCATAAAGGTCCCTTTAGCTAAGGGACCGTTATGACCACCGGCGAATCAGTTCGCGATCCTCCGCGCGTGGCATGTGCTCGCGATCCATCAGCGCGGGCTGATTCGCCGATTGCAGAGGAACCTACGTAAAAGGTACCTTTATGCTGCTGGTGAGAATGGGGTATAAAGGCCTGTTCACACATACAGCGGAGCGCTAAGTTAGCGCTACGTGAGCGCTCCAAGGAGCGCTAATGTGGCGCTTCCTAGCGCGTGACTTCGTTCTAACATAGCGGGCGATTAGCGCTTCTGTAGCGCCTTGTTAGCGCTCCAGTAGCGCTTTGTTATCGCTCCAGTAGCGCTTTGTTAGCGCTCCAGTAGCGCTTTGTTAGCGCTCCAGTAGCTCCTTGTTAGCGCTTCAGTAGCGCTTCTTGTACCGCGGTGCTGCGGATTAGCGCGTGCACTGCGGTACCGTTCCTGTGGTTGGGTGTGCGTCAGCAGCACCATAGCGGACATGTGGGATGCTGAAACAGAAATGCGACAAATGCTCTTAGATACGTGATTAGTGCATACGGCGTGGACGGCTTAACGCCCAGAAGAGCCTTCTGGGTGCGCGAAATCTTTCGCCATCGAGATACCAACGGGTACCCGGCGAACCTTGTTCCCAGGCTGAGGGACCGAGACGCAGAGCTCTTTCGAAGGCGATTATTTTTAACTGCGTGTCTTTGAAACTAGGGTCACGCATATCGAATAGAAAGCGATGAGGTTGTACCCAACCAATTGGCCACTCAGAGTCCATGACTCTGGATCGCCTGCCCGACCCTTTGCTTGGAGAGCGGCTGTTTTAGTTCCTCTTCTTTCAATGCCAAAAGAAAAACAACAAAGGAATCGCCGTGCACGCGCTGTTCCGCAGCAGCAAGCACGGCACAAGGAGCGTGAGAGCGCTAACAAAGCGCTTCTGTAACGCTAACAGAGCGCTTCTGTAGCGCTAACAGAGCGCTAACAAAGCGCTTCTGAAGCGCTAACAGAGCGCTACATCACGCGCTAGGAAGCGCCACATGAGCGCTCCTTGGAGCGCTTAGGTAGCGCTAACTTAGCGCTCCGCTGTATGTGTGAACCGGCCTTTAGACTGACCAGGAGACTATGTTCTTTCAATCAATTTAAGAGTAGCATAGTCATTGCAATGGCGTCAGTCACTAATACGAGTGAAGTCGTGACTGTCTGATCTTGCTTCCAGGTTTTATCCTCTGGGGTAGGGCACTTTTTGCGCGTGACTAATTCCAACTTCTATATTGCACCGCTGAGGTTGCCCAAGCTAAGCTTTTTCTATGCGCAAAAAAAATATGCCACAAAACGATATATATATAAAAAAAAAAAAAGATAAAACACCCATGTAGACACCCGCGGCTTTCGGGACCTGAATCTGTCATCTCAATTGACACGACAATCGAAGAAGCAAAGAAGCAGTCGTTCGCGCCAAGTCTAGGTAATCGTAATCCAGCTGCTCGAAACAGGTGTCCAGATCCAACTCGCAGACGCCGCCGCACACGTTTTGTTCGAAGCCGTATACTCGCAACACCGCGCGGCCTTTTCTCCGACGTGGCGGGCGGGCTTGGCTGGTCCCGAAACTATAGGCTGCCTGGAACGCGTCCTCCGACTGGTATGTTTCAGCCGCGCTCGCACTGCCAATCCACCGCACGAAGGACAGTCTGGAGACACTAGGGAGTTTTAGGGAACCGTTTTAGCAAATCCGATATGGTACGATGCGCCCTCAGGTACAAACTGCGCATGCGCTTCCGCAGAAGATTCGCACACGCGCAGTTGGTACCGGAGGGCCCATCGCACAATATCGGATGTGCAAATATGGTTCCCTAAAACTCCCTACTGTCTGTGGCGTGTTTCTTTCTCGTATTAATCGTCTGCGGACATGTTGGAAGATTACATCCGGATGAAAGAAATATGCTTGGAATATATTCCCGAGGCGTGACCGCCAATCCTTCTGTCGTCCTGTCTGCAGCGAGCATCGCGTCTTTCATACGATGTATACGAGAAGTGTAACCGTGGCTTTACCGCGTCTTAAACAGCGGCTTCTCAGTTGCCGCCTGATGACGTCATGAAAGTTTTCATGTTGTCACCGACCGCGGTCCAGACGCGCCCGTTGCGCTTGCGCGTCTCCCTCTGTAGCCTGTCGACAGTCCAAGGAAGCTTCCGATGTTGGGAGTTGGGACTCCGCTGCGACAGCGATATTCGTGTTCGCTAGTATGCTCCATTTTGACGGGACTCGTAGCACCAACCGCCAGAGTTGAAGCCATCCGACAGCACAATGCGATGGCTCCTGTAACGTCATTTGTTGACATTTCGGCGCCACTTTTGATGTGTGGTCGAGATGGGAAGCTAAACGCGCCGGTCGAAGACTCCGAAACTGGAACTCAGCCCCCCTGTGGTGTTTTTCTTGGTTACTCAGGGCCCGCGGCGCGGTGCTGGCGAGTGAGCCGGTGGGCGGCCTGTCAATGATCGGCGTCGCGGGCAGCCGGCACCTGGCCCGCGGTCGCCGGGGCTCGTCGCCGAGCCTGTCGCCGCTGCCCGGAGGACCCCGACGCTTCTCGCTGTCTCCACTGCCACAAGAGGAACACGCCGCTTCGGCCCCCGAGTCGCCGGCGTCAAGGGCGTCGCCGGTAGCGTCGGTGTCGCCCGCGGGACCCGATGCCGCGTCCCCCGAGCGCAAGGTAAATCCAACAATGCTTGCCCAAATTATTATTATTATTATTATTTTGTGAGTCGCGTGTGTGGTTGTCGAACTCGAAAAAAAAAAAAAAAAAAACGAAGCTGCGAAGACACAAGCGGGTAAAGAGGAAAGAGCAGTCCGTCGTCTCCAGTTTTCTCCCGGTTCGCTTCGAACTGGACTTTGAAGCTTTAGTTCAGCATCAGTTACCGTATTTACTCGCGTATAGGTCGACCTGTTTTTCAAAAATCGCCTCATCAAAACTGGGGGGTCGACCAATACGCGAATCCCGGTATTTTATTTTTCAACTTTTTTTTTTTTTTTCGGGGGTCCCGAAGTTAGGGGGTCGACCTATACGACGTATCGACCAATATGCGAGTAAATACGGTAGCTAAGCTCAGAATCCCGTTGAAAAGATTTCACTAGTGTCAGCTGACTTTTCGGAGAAAAACTTAACTTCTTAAAAGCTAAACCTTTTTAACCAGAAAAAAAAACAAAAAAAAACAGGGGTCGTGACTTCAACAGTGTTTCCTCTAAACTTATAGTCGTGTCTTTTTTTTTTTTTTTGTCTTTTTTTTTTTGTGATACACGCGAAATTGAGTAAATTTTTTTTTCAAGGCATTTGCATTTTTTTTTACACATTGTTTCTGTCTAAGGCCATTACCGGGTGTTTCTTTTGAACACTTTCAAAAATTATTTTAGTGTTTAAAGAAAAAATAAGCTTTTTTCCAACAAACTGGCATCCACGACGGACGCCAGGGATTGTAAAACACTTACAAATTAGCAAATTTATTACTTAGGGTTGACAAATTAACGTTCGAGGTAGTTCAGATAAATATATGGTTTCAATCAAAACCTTGCTGAGTATTAATTTGAAAATTGTATGTCTCATTTTGGCCTGCTTTACCGCACTGAAAAAAAAAAATCTTATGTGCTTTTGATACACGTGTGGTTCCAAATTAACCATTTGCTGACTTACACTTTCTACTGCCGGAGAAGCCTGCAGAAATATAACTTGACCTGGGGCATTGCTGTGGCGTGATACTTAAACCTGCGCTCATGTCAATAGAAGGTAGTGTAAATAAGTCTAAACATGCCCCGACCTCCTGACTCATCTAGTTATAAAAGTGCAAGCTTCTACGAAAGGGACTAATTGTGGTAAACTAAACCTTGAGACAAGGAAAATAAAATAAGAGACAGCAGGACGAAAAGTTCAAAATATTTGTTGGTGTTCTTTTTGTAATTACCTTGTCTCCGGGTTTGATTTATGGTGTTTGCTAACCAGATCAACTGCATATTTTCTTTTCTTAAAGTTATCATCACTTTGTCGGCTTGGGGGCCGACTAGAATTTCAATAGCATCGAAGGATTTTTAGGGATAGGGACACTGTTGGCATCCAATAGCCACAGTGGCTGACAAGTTGCACACAGTCGCTTCTATAGCCATTTGAAGCTCTTGGGTCTGCTCGCGAGCATGTAAAACGGCCAAGTATAATGCAAATAGTGAACGTGATGAAGTTTTGAGTAACAACGTTGAGTTTCTCTAGCTACAAAATCGTCGGATATGATCACTGCATAAACCTAAAACTAGACACTTATACCGTCTTATTGTTTATAAAATCTTGTTTTTTTGTTTGTTTGTTTATTTTTTTTTTTGACACAATTGTCAGGGAGGTTGGGACAAAAGGCGAAAACGAATTACCTGACTAGGTCCCAACCCCCGTTACAGCACTCAGCAGCGGGGCACAGGAAATGAATAAAAAACAGCATAAATCAAAAATAAAACAATATCTGAGAAGATAAAAATATGAGACTCAAAAAATGTACAATCTATTTTGATGTGAACTATACTAGGAATACACACTGGGCACATTGAAGTATACCGTAAGGTATTTTTTTAAAAGAAACATGGACTCTATTGTATGGGCTAATTCGAATACACAATAATTTCTGTTAAGAAGATCGGGTATCTGGTAGGATATTTTTTGTGTACCGTAGTTAGTTCTTATTTTAGGATTTGAAAACTGCTGGTGTCTCAAATTGTAATTTGTTTGCTTAAATAAATATGTTTCGTAAAATATTGCAGGATTCGTGTTTATTTGATTATGAACTAAAATTGCGACCTTTAGGCAAAAAAGATTGTTGAACGTTAATATTCCATGTTTAATAGGTGGTTATCCCGGCCGTTCAAAAATCTAGACGCGGATCATTTGCTCGCGGTGACAGTTTTTTCAGTCATGTCGTTTGTGGCATGGACATTGAAACAGACCGCCAAATTGAGCTTTTTAAAACTGGAACTTTTGTTTTTATGTTGGGTGGCTATTGATGTATTGTGGGAAAATTGTTAAATAACCAACCTCCTTCAAAGTCCTCGCAAAGGTGTGATAGCTTGCGAAATAATTAAATGTATTACCCCTTAAAGTTAACATTTCTATTGTGACTGGTTTTTTTTTTTTTTCATCGTTGTCTTTGTCTATACAACACCAAAATTGGCATTGCGCGTGCTCGGCTCGCGCAGCTCTCGTTGGCGGCGGTTGCGGCGGCGGCGACGGCGTCGGCAGGGGGGCCTTCCTCGACGGCGTCGTGCAGTCCCCGTCCCCCGACGACGCGTCGCCGGCGCGCTCCGTCCCGGCTCTCGACGGAGCTTCCGGCGGGGGTGATGCTGGGCCGCCGCAGAGCGGTCACCACCACCGACCACAAGACCTGCGCCCTGCTACACACGCGGCTCAAGGGATTACGCCTGGAGGACATCGCGTGAGTTCTTTTTCCTCCCTCAACCTTCTGTGTGGTGACGGAGTCCTGAAGCGCTGCCAATAGGCCGTTGGTGCCCACTTTTGAAACGTCTCGCGACGCTTTAGAAGCCCCCGTGCTGCATTCTTAAGTCTTTTTTTTTTTAATGCGAAAGCATTACTGCCTCATGGAGTGAACCGGCGTAATCAGCTTTTGAAGCCGCTCCAAACGGCACCTAAACTCCCCTGTCCTAATGGAGCGAAGCCTGTCGTCTGTAGCAGCGATTTGATGGATAGGCTCCCATTGGCTAGTGCACGTTATAGTTTCAAGGAGCACTGCTCTCATTGGCTGCCGCGCGGCGTAGTTCCAAGGAACGCCACCCGACAGAGCCCTCTCCATGGCAGTGCTGTGGCCCGGCCGCCGAGCTCGCAGAGCCAGCCGGGGCAGACTCCGGAGGGGCTGCACGACCGTGCTCAGCGCGGCGAGGCCACTTCACGAGAGCGCGATCTTGGCTGTCGGCCGCAACCTCGGCAGTAGCCAAACGTGACCATCCACGCCAGTACACCGCAGACGAATTAAGGGAACGGAAGAACGACTTTCATTTCGCATTCACAACTCATAAAAAGTGCTTCCTTTTTAACGCACTTGTGGAGCCTTTCCGGAGTACTTTTAGATTCTTGGAGTCTCTCTGGAATCTCTTGAAAATTTGCCTGGAGTTCTTCTGGAGTTCTTCTGGAGTTCTTCTGGAGTTCTTCTGGAGTTCTTCTGGAGTTCTGGAGTTCTTCTGGAGTTCTTCTGGAGTTCTTCTGGAATACATCGGGAGTCCATCTGGAGTCCATCTGGAGTCCTTCGATATTCTTCAAGAGTTGTTGATTTTTTCTGAGGTCCTTCTGGAACCATGATGGAACCTTTTAGAAACGCTTTAGAAACCCTTGAGGAAACCCTTTAGGAATCCAATTAGAGCCGGCTTAGAACAATTTTGAAACGATCTTGGAACAATCTTAGATCAATCTTGACTCTGTTCTGAAACACTTCGCTCTCCTGGAGTCCTCTTGGTGCCCTCTTGGAGCCCTAATCTATACGGCTGCCATGGGGACCAAGAGAACGGCAGGCTACCGCCTGCTGCGATTTGCAATCATTCATCAGCGGCGCGCCTCCGCCGTGCAAAATAGGTCCCCTGGAGTGTGTAGTTGCAGTTAAATTAGGGCACTTGTAGATTCTGGTTTAAATCCTAAGTGAAATTATGGCGTTCTAAGGCGCGCTTTTCGCTGTCCCTCGTTGCATAACGTGCAACTCGCACCTCCTCGCAAATCCAGAGTCGGCGTTTGCTGCCATAAAACGGTTAGGCTTGAGGGGATGAACGACATCGGGATTACAAGCCGACAGAGCAGTCTGGCTTCTTAAACATTTTACCTCCTCGTCGTCTGGCCATCCTAGCTTCCGGCTACATTGTCTGACAAATACTGCGCTAAACTGTGAACGGGAATTGCGTTTAATTATTTAATTACCGGAGTTATTACAATATTACGACATTCAATCGTCGGGAAATGGTTGGGGAAAGTAAAGGACTATCTTGTGTGTCATCAAAAGTATAGAAAATAGATTGTATGAGATTGACATAAACAGTTTCATACTGCGTGTCACATTAAGAGTTACGAACACAAGAAGTTGTCTTATATGTCCCTTGATGCTGTGGAGATCAAGTGTCGTAGCATATAGCCGGAATGAACTGGCCATATGCAAGCCAGTTCCTTCCGGGTTCAAGCAGTGACCGAAATTCCTCGTGAGTCTAGAATTTTTCGTACAAGCCTTGAAAGTCCGATGTTATTTTGATGTGGATATTTTTCAGCACTGAAAAGCTACAAAGGCACTGAAAAGCTACAAAACCTCTTCTTTCTTTGCTATTGCAGGTCTACGTTATTCGGCACTTATATAGCAGTTCCGAACCTTTGTCTTGGTCTTATATAAGACAATATTTGGCTGATCTCTTGGATGCTAGGCCTAAGTTTGTAATATTACGAATTACGTTCACTCTTTGCTCTGGAACGCGTTGTAAGTGGTACTAGTTCGAAACACAAACACCAACACACGCAAGCAAGCATGAAATTGAATTCATAGCTGTGCGTCCGCCTTGACGGCTTCAAGGCGAAGCGCCTAGTTTGAATCCCGGCCGAAGTTCCCGCAATTTGACGAAGGCTTACTGTGGAGACGGCGCCATGTAACAAATATTTCTCTCGAACGTCGAAAGATCCACAGCTGATCAAAATTAATACTCTGTCCTCTGCTAGGGCGTGCCAGGTAGCTTTAATTCCTATATTAATACACGTAAGCTCCCCATTTTTTGTTTTTGTTTTGCCGTAGCGGTGCAAAAAAGTTAACGTAATTGTCCTGGATCAAAGCAAAACGAAGGGACGTCTCCAGGTGACGAGCTTCAGATTGTGAAAATTGCTTGTCCAGCGAATGACAGAGCGGCGGTACCGGCGTCTATTGCGGGGCGGCGTCTAATGGGCTTGCCCCCCGACACGCGAGCTGTCCCTAGTTTCAATTGAGGCTCTTGCCTCTCGCTGGGAGCTTGCCTCTCTCGCTCGGGGCTTGCCCGGATGAGCGATGACACCCCGCCGCGACAGACATCGCTAATTCACGAACATCGATCGAACGCCGACCGCCGCTTTGTGAGCGGCTTCGCTCGCGTCCCCCGACGCCTCCACGGCGGGAGACTGAACACTTCGTCATTGGACGCAACTTGGGAGATCACGTAAACGCGGCGGGAACTGTGGGACGACCCTTCAATCAATCACCGCTGACCACGTTTTTGTTCTTTGCGTATCGTAACGACGTTGTGCGAACTCAGCGTTTTGGGTTATGATAGAAAGAAATGGTAAGGGTGCAGGCGAGCTGGTGAATATTAACCATGTTGAATTAACCTGAGACTGGGGTAGAGAAGAAACGTCAAAACGTAGAAGGGACAGAAAATAGACAGGACGACGTCAGGACGACGTCTCTTGAGACGTCGTCCTGTCTATTTTCTGTCCCTTCTACGTTTTGATGTTTCTTCTCCACCCCAGTCTCAGGTTAATTCAACATGGGTTATGATAGTCACGGGGAACAGTATTTTATTTACTGATTTATTTATATATGCGATTTGTTTATTTAATCGTACCGCGACTTCACTTGTGATCATTGCAGGAGTGAGAGAACAACACCGCACTGCATTGGTAAACAGAATGATCAAAATCCCCCTAGAAAATAAAGATTTAAAACAATCACGCATAACCTGAAAAGGAAAGAGGCATTATTGCTGAAAGAAACTCATTGTAAGGAAGCAGGTGTCTGAAACCGTTTGTTATTTCACATCTCAACCGCTAGTGTGAATACATTGAAAAAAGTAATCAGCCCTGTGTGAATTCTAAATGTTGTTTAGATAATCATCAGTGAGCAAGGGGGTTATTCGGTGAGTCAACGAATATGGAATCACTTACGCGCGGAGGTCAGAAAATCTTAAGCTTATTATGTAATATTTTTAGAGGCATTCGATGATTCGATGCAAGAGCCTGGAGGATTTCTATGGGTCATCTTAAATAGGGATGTCGCGTCTTTTTTTTTTTCGAACCGAAATTTCAAGCTCAAATCTAGAGGTTCTACTGGTTCTACAAACCTTCGAACTTTTGGCAAAACTTAACTATGTTTTACTTCATAAAAAAAAAAAAAAAAAAAAAAAAAAAACACATTGCTGCCTGAATTCTACGGGTGTTCAAACATTTTAAAAATAATTCAAAAATGTATTCTTTATTGTCCTGGAGAACAATAATTATTGTTTACAGGATATAAATACAAGCATATAAGCTTTCAATATTTAGAAACATTGTTGAAATTCGTGACTTTATTTTCCGTCAGGCGATGCCAGGCCGTCTTTAATTCACGCACATGCCCATAATAGTCAAACTTCTGACGAACATTTAGCGAACCCGGTCAAAGTCGAGGCTCGGCCAAGTTCCTAATAATAATTTTTTTAAAAAAGGAGAAAAGGAACGGTTGAATACAAATTATTCGAATATCAAGTATAGCAACCAAAAATATTAGCGGAGAACACAGATTTGTTTCACATCATTTTCCCCATTTTTCGACATTTTCTACGTTAAGCGTAATTTGACTTAACACCCTTTGTCTCGACACCATTCACGCGGAAATTTCGAGAAGCTCGTTAATGGTTCAATGAAAAGAAGGACGCGAGGGACTTTAAATGATTATTGATGACCTTACGGATAAATGTTCCACCGATCACAAACTAAAAACAATTCTGTAATAAAACATACGTAGCTTTTTCAACATTCTTATAAACCCGGGGATACTCCATCCGGGTTACTCTACCCGGATAAACCCAGTGGTGGTAGTCCCGTGGGGAGGAGATGTATCTAAAGCCCTTTGAGAATACTCACGCGTCGTGTTTCTTCCGAGCACCGACGAGTGTTTCTGTGCGAACGCGCAAAACACCTGCTTCGAGCGAGTGCTACGCCGTCATTGGCTTCTAAGGAAAGCTCATTTGAGTGCGGCACCGCCATTTGCTTCCATGAGCTACACGAGGCGCGGGCGTTGTCCTTTGGCCCATTTGACGCTACTTGCAAGATGGACGCCAACACATAAACGGGCTTTGGGCTCATTGCGCCCACTCCTCTATCTATCGGCTGCTTTCCGAAGTCAGGACGTCGTACGTCTGCTGAGTCAACGTTACTAGATTAGCTCAGTTACGGCAGAGCTGTTTAAGGAGAGAGTTTGTTCAGTTGGAGGCGCGGGCGGAGCCAGGGCGTGCACCATATGCAGAAACAGGGCTTGACAAGCTCTATTGGCCATCCAGAAGCCGAAAAGAATCCCCTAGCTGTGGTAGCGAGGAACAGTTTTACCATAGTGATGTAGTGTTAAAAAGCGCGTAAGAGTTAATTGCAGTAACACTTTCTGGTTGAAAATAGGGTGCACGTGATGTTTCGATAATGATCATACAGAAAGATGTGAGAAACGAATGTGCCGCTCGAA